TTCCCTCTTTAACCCCCAAATGACCATCATTTGGGCACCCAGGGTTCTGTTTTGGTCACTTCTCTGTATCCTGGCTACACTTGGTAAAGCCCCACAGGTACAAGCAACTTTCAGATGCTAATTAAGAGTCCTGCTGGTGCAATGGTTAAGGTTTCGGCTATCAATCCTAAAAAGGTCCCTGGTTTGAACCCACCAGTCACTCTGTGGAGGAAAGATAAGGCAGTCAGCTTCTGTAAAGTTTTACAGCCTTGGAAACCACCTGGGGTACTCTGCCTTGCAGGGTCAGTGAAATAGAATCGACTCAACAGCAATGACTTTCAGCTTTGAGAGGTTGACTTTCTAGTCTACTATGTCCAGCCTGATCTGCCTTCTGAGTCTCAAACCCCTATCTAGCTTCACTTGATTATTTTAAAGGCATTGCTTATGGAAACTGTTCAAATGTAAGCTCTTGGATCCCTCCCCCCAAATCTGTGACCCTCTGGGTGCTCCTCTCATGGTAAATCTAGTTCCATCAGGGAAACTAGCTGGGATTACAGCATAACTCTCCTTTTTCCTGGTTCCCCACATGCAGTGTTTCTAGCTACAAACTACTCCTAAATTCAGACTTCTATCTCCCTTGCCACTAGCCACTGGTCCATGGGGCCAACATGCGCTGCATGCCCTTCCCTGTTCTACCTGCCTCTGCTCTCAACCTGTAGTCATTTCCAGGTCAGCCAAGAGCAACCTTTTCAAAAGTGCAGCTAAGGCGGTGCCACTCCTTGCCTCAGAATTCCTCTTCTGGTTTCCTCGTGAACACAGAGTAAAACTCAGCTTCCCTTTGGGCTATACAGCCCGAAACTCCAGCTCTTCTCCGATTTCTTTCAATACTCTTCCCCCACCCCCTTGCTTTTGCTTATGCTGCTCTAGCCTCAGTGGCTTCCTTCTTCTGTGTAGATAGGAAGTTCTCTCTCTTTTTGGAATCTGAACTTACTATGTCTTCTATTTGAGATACTCTGTCTCCAAACCTTTGTGAAGGAAGCTAGCTTCTCTTCATTATTCGGGTTATCACCTCTGATAGCCCGTCCTTGTAGAGACCTATGGCGACTGCACTTCAAACAGACCCTGTATCGCTCACTTGAGATACTCTGTCAGTTTTTTTCTTCAGAACATCCATCGCAATCTAAAATTGTTCATTTGTATCCCTTTTTTAATTGTCTTCACTAGACAGGGAGCTTGTTTAGGGAGAGGACAGAAACTGCTGTGCTGATTTCAGTATCCCTACAGACTTAGCTGATGGCAAGCACATAAGTGCAGACTGCTCATCCACCTAACAGGGAGCTCTGGTGGCCTCGTGTTAAGGAGATGTACTGTCAACTCAAAGGCATGTGGTTTGAGTCCATTAGCAGCTCTCTGTGGGAGAAGGATAAGCAATCTCCTCTCATTCAACTTACAGCTTCTGAAAACCTGCTGGAGGGTCAGCTGTGAGTTGGTTCTGATTCAACAGCACATACCACCACCTACCTGTCAGGGACTTCGTGAGAAGCAAATGAGAATGGAAGTAAGTAACTTAGCACAGGATGCTACCCATATACAAACCTGTTATTATTGAGTGGATTCTGATTAACAGTAATCTTAGGTGTGACAGAGCAGAAGTGTTCATAGCGTTTTCTGGGCTATGATCTTTACAGAAGATGCTAGATGGGCTTTACCACCAACATTGAGGTCAGTTCTATGCAAATAATGACCTTACAGTGATCACAGCAAGTTCATAATGCCTGCGTTGCTGTTGTTACGTGACATCAAATTGATGGCAATTTATAGTGACTCTATGAACAAGAACTCTGAACCCTGCCCTGTCCTGAGTCAACCTCACTGTCTCTGACACACCCTCCCCCATTACTCCAGTTACTGTACTAATCCATCTCATCTGGGGTCTTCCTCTCCTGCACTATCCCTACCCTCTTCCAAGCATGATGTCCTTCTCCAAGGACCAGTCTCTTCTGGCCATGTGCCCCAAGTATGTAAGACAGAGCTTCAAAATCCTTGCTTCCAAGAATAACTTGGTTTCAGCCTCCCCAGGACAGACCTGTTTGTTCTCTTGGGGGTCCATGGTATGTCAGTACTCTTCTCCAGCACCACAACTCAAAGGCATCAATTCTTCTTCTGTCGTCCTTAGTCATTGTCTAACTCTCTGATGTATGCATATCAATCAGTTGCAAAGACAATGGCCTGGATCAGTTGCACCTTTGTCAGTATTGTTCAATCCAAGAGCCCTGGTGGTGCAATGGTTAAATGCTTGGCTGCTAAAGAGGGGAGATGTGGCAGCCAGACTACGGCTGCTCAGGTCAGCTATGACTGGTGCTGAGCGGCACTGGATGCATAAAGCCGTCTCAAGGAAAGCAAGCCCCACAGTGCATCATGCAAGTTGAGAGAAAAACTGTGATCAACCTCACCGCAGGTGAGGCTTTGCTCAAAAGTTGAACTGGTCACAGGGAAATGGTTTCCTTAGTGAATACTTGCTTGTTTCTAAGCCCTGTACATGCTGCTGAGAGAGAGAAAAGGAAACTAACATCCACCAAAAATGAGCGTACACTTTCATGAGGGGATGAGAGGATGGGGAAGACGCGATAACTAGAAGTATTTTAATACAGTTGAATTAAATCTACCACAGAGCCACAGATATTCAATATCTACTATCTTCTGAGAAAGGGAGCTTTACAGTTTAGAGTTCACAATGTCAGGAATACAAGGAGATCCAGGGTTAACAAATTCCAACTTACAGACAACGTCTACTTGCCCTTTAATGTTATGTAAATTTGCCTTCAACTCTGAAATGACTCATTGCTGCTCAGTCCATTCCAGCCCACAGCAACCTTCCACTAGGTTTCCAAAGCTGTACATCTTTACAGGAAGAGACTGTCCATTCTTCTGTGAAGCAGCTGGTTAAGTCAACCAACCAATCTCCCTGTTAGCTGCCAGATACACAATGCCATATGTCACCAGGGCCCCTGAAACAACGTCTACTCGCAACAAAATTCCTCATCACAATCAAGTTCATTTGCTGTGCATGCAGCTTTTAAAGTTATCGAAGCTACTTAAGAGCTTTTCCCTGTACTACAGTAAGGCTAAGCAAGAACTGGACGGACCTGTTCTGACTGACAAGTTCTTAAGGAACACGGTAAGGAACAGAGCTCGTTTGATTAGCCATGTTATTCATGTCATGATGTTCTCCAAAACATGTACAACGTCTTCCAGAGACAGCCTATTACAGACTGCAAAGTGCCAGAGAACTACCGATTTTGAGGCAGGAGACCCAGGTAGGAGGCAGGTAGAGCTGAGGGCCCTTCCTGCTTGGCGTTGTGTACACCACAGGATACCTGAACAAGCAACAGGGCATTAAAGGAGATGCTTTACTCACTTGAAATGCAGAAATATTTATTTTGGTTTCCTTCATTGTTTTGGAAATTCTGTTTTGGTTTATAAAACATAGAAATAGCCAACACTTAAAGCAAACATTCAAAATCCCAATGTGACAAATTATTGACTTGTTTGTGCAATTAAGAATACACGTATGAAGTTAGGCTACCAAACAGTGTTATTACAATGACAATTCTTTAGTGCAAACCTTGTTGTGCTTGATTAATACTTGTACTCTCACATATTCAAAAAGAACAGCTTTAAATGTATAAATGATAACTTAATTCAGTCAAATGTGGCAAAGGCTTGCAGTAAAATGAAATGCTGATCATCTCTCAAATTAACTTTTTTTTTTTTAAAAAAAAAAACCCTTTCAGAAGTTAATCCCAGGAAATGATTTTTCCAGATTTCTACATTCTAGAATTTTGGCTTGTCAGATACATTTCATAGAAATCAGATAGCATTATAAGAACATTTATTTGCTTATACTGTCCATCTCAAGAAGTACCCAAGAAAATCTACTCCCTTAATAGTTTCAAAGACATGCTTTGCCTGAGAGTTTATTCTGAGGGGGGAAAAAAGGAAGTTAATCACAGCATGATCCTTTTCGATATGAAAGCCACATTAAAAATCTGTTGGCCATTACAGACAAAGAGTGACTGGTGCAGTGAAGATAAAGTGGACAGTTATCCAGGCGCCACAGGTGAGCAAGGTTTATCCAGCTCATCGTCTCCTTCTTGAAATGCTTGTCTTCACTGTAGAGTCTAAGGCAGATATTCCAATAACCACCGGGAAGGGATGGAGGGAGGGAACCGAGCCTAGAGAACAGGTCTGAGGGCATCCGCTCTCGCTCTCGGTGGGAGTGAGAATTCACTCACTCTGGTGAGCGTCCATCCATCTGAGTGTCAACACTGCACTGTTCTGAGCTGGCTCTGTCCTTCAGTGCCTGTGAACTTTTTACTCCAGCAAGGAACAAGAGCGGGTTGCAGAGAACAGCATGAGTTTCACAACCCTTAGTCAGAAGGGGTGTGTGAGTGTGTGTGAGATGGGGTAGAGGAAGGAACAGGGACTTAAAAAAAAAGGGATTTCTGGTCCACTTTGATGTTCTCCAGCACGGAGAATGATTCTTGTTTGGAAAGGACAGTTTCCCTCCAGTGCACTGTACTCTTTAGAGCAGCAGACGTCTGCAGAATCTGCAGTTAAGTAGCAGGCATCTCAGAAATAGCAAAGTCCTAACTCCTTGGTTAGAAAGACAGACAGACAGAAGTTTTAACACCCACCTTTTTAACTGAGGAAGTCTCAAATAACTTAGCACATTTATAGTTTTCCCCTTTACAATTTTTAAGGCTCATTTTGGAAATTGTTTATAACTATAAACATGGTCTGCAACACGAGGTGACCGTAAGGCAGTGTTCCGTTTCCTCTAAAAGTCCTATCACAAGAACCCCGAATGGACAAGTCAAACATCGTTTCCTTTCCTACGCTTGCTGTAGTCAAAATTACCAACCAAAGGCCATCAGGAGAAGAAGAGATTGTGGAGGTGTGTGGTTTGGTTTGTTTTTTAATTTTTCTCCTTTTTCTTTTCCCAAGCTTTCTTCTTCACATTAGACCTTGATGGTAGAATAGAGTTCTTCTATCTGAGAATGGAAATAATTCCGTAACTCTGTTCTCTTAGCCTTCATTGTTGGAGTCAGAAGGCCATTGTCCACAGAAAATAATTCGAGGTGTAGAGCAATGCCTTTGATCTGCAAATAGACAAGGTGGTTAAAGGAGCAAAGACTGCACTTGAGTCTACAAAGCACACACTGTTGTGTGCAGGCAACTCCCTTCTGACTCACAGTGGTGCATGACAGAGCAGAACTGCCCCACAAGGGTGCCTAGGCTGCTATTTAGACAGCAGCAGACTGGAAGGTCTTCTCTCCCAGAGTTGCTGTGGTGTTTAACCACTGCACCACTAGGCCTCCTTAGAAAACACATAAAAGTATGAAGATCCTTATGGGAGAGCCAATCCATCTCTTGCCCCAGATCAAGCCACATCTAAGCATTCTCCACAAAGATTCTACTCTACTCTTAGGATAGAATTCAAGATTGCATCCTGATCTAAAAAAAAAGAAAAGCATTCATGACTCTCGTTAAAGATCTTATCCCTCACAAAAATATTCCAGCACTGATTCCTCATTCTTCTATTGGTTATCTTAATCTCTCAAAGAATTTATTTGTAAAAAGACTGTTCAAGGCAAAAGTCTGTTTTACAGGCATCCCTGCATTCTGTTGAAAGTCTTACCTGTTCAAATGGTTTGAGACCAGACTCCTTCCCTAGAGCCACCATGTCTTCTAGGATAGCTTTTTTGACATCCTAATAAGGTAAGAAGAGCAATTAACCTGGACATCCACGAGTACATTTAATGTAAAGATTAAAAGACCAACCATACACTTCAGAACCATACCTTATTTCTACACAGTTCTTCAAAGGACCCTTCAAATCCTTTCTTTCGAGCCCAGGGGCATAATGTTTCAGCATCAGGTACCACGATTGCTATGAGAAATGACTTTAAACAGACAAGACAGTTATTACAAGGCTTAATACAAATGCTCTAAAATTAACACAATCATTGTGACATCATGGGACCCTGGAGAACCTAATGAAAGCCTGACCCTCACTTCAGAACGTCCCATTCTCCCTGGGAGCCGACAGAGTCCAGGTAAATGTATGGATGGTGTCAGAAATCCTGTCAGTGTTTTTAAAGAATCACTGGAAACCAAAAACTAACAAAAAGTCTATTTTAAAAATAATACTAAAATGTTCTTTTATTAAGTTAAAAATGTATATTTAATCTAATTGTGAATATTTCCTCTTTATAAGAGGTTATTTTTTCTCATTTATATTTCACTTTAATTCAAATTTCCTACAATGAGTACTAATGGTTTTATTGTGATTTGAATAAAGGCTAAAAGCTAAAAAAAAAATTATATAAACATTTCTATAAAGCAAGGTGATGGATGCCTGAATGCTGCTTATAGAAAGGAAGGGGGGAAAAGTATATAAATTAACTTGGGGAAAAAAAATAAACCTCCCTAATACTATATCTTTTATAATAACACTAAAACTAAAAAGAAACTTTAAAAACATGATAAGATTTGAGGTAAAATAAAAATAGGAAGACTGGGGGCAAAAATCTGGTACATTCTTGCATAAGAGGGGGGGGAAATCTAGAAAATAAAAGATCAAAATTTGTAAAAATATTTCTTTTCAGAAAACCAGTCCATCTTCTCTTCTTTACAACCATTGGTTTGACTTCTTGACAGACATTTTATAGTAGGATCTCCAATTCTGGCTTTGAACATACATTTGTTCACTACTAACTGCTCTATGCTCAAAAATAATCTAGAAGGCATTTTATATATAGGTGGGATTGAACAGGTTTAAAATTTAGAACTTTTAAGTAATTGTATTATTTCCCTCAAAATGAATTTTTTTTTAAAAAAACAAAAATGCTGTGTAGCAGGCTAGGTTAAAGAAAAACACAAAATGTAAAGCAAACAATGCTTTGTGACTAAGAAATGCCAGTCAGAACCAGTACTGAAGGCACTGATGATACCTGAGCATGTCAGCCACGAAAGTTATGTCACACTTATTTAAGTTTTTCATTATATTTAAAACCCCTTGAGTACAACAGAGCCGGTGACTGAGAAAGCACATACATACCTGTAAGCTCTCTCCATGGACAAACACTTGAGCAACAGGTTCACTTCGCACGTAGATATTTTCAATTTTTTCAGGGGCTATGTATTCTCCTTGTGCCAGTTTAAATATGTGCTTTTTTCTGTCAACAATCTTCAAGGTCCCATTCTGTTTATCAGAGGGGAGGAGGCTGTGAGTGGGACCAGCAAAGGCTTCCACTCGGCATCAATTACACCCAGTACATGGTTTTCAAGTGCACAATCATTTGAACCTTATAATACCCTGCTGTTGTTAACTTGCTTGTTATCTTTATTTTAGCTCCACTAGTAATCAGAGAAAAGCCTGAAGTTGGTAATGTTTCATTTTACTTGGATCCACAATCAACATCCATGGTAGCAGCAACCAAGAGATCAAACCAAGTATCACACTGGCACATCTGCTACCTTAAAATGGTAAAGAGCAAGGATATGACTTTAAAGACTAAGAGAACTTGACCAAAGCAATGGTATTTTCAGCTGCTTTATAAGCCTGTGAAACCAGGACAATGAATAAGGAAGACGGAAGAAAAGATACCTTAGAATTGTGGTGTTGGCAAAGCCTACTGAATACACTACAGATGGCTGAAAGAACAAATAAATCTGTCCTGGAATAAGTGTAGTCAGAGTGCTCTTCAGGGTCACGGATGGTGAGACTCGTGTCGTACACTTTGGGTATCCTATCGGGAAGGGCTTGTCCTTGGAGAAGGACATCAGGCTTGGAAAATCAGAGAGTCAGCAAAGGAGAAGACCTTTCATGAGGTGGACTGGGACAGTGAGTGCGACAAGGAGTGCAGCGGAGATTGTAAGGAGGTGCAGGACTGTGCAAGGTTTCAATCTGCTGTACATAAGGTCATTATGAGTTAGAAATGACTTGATAGCACCTAATAACAACAAGAAGGCATAATTTCCATTTTATCTATTATTTTATCTTGTGCAGAGGCAGGGGAAAGAAGGGTGCTCCCGGTCCCTTGGGTAACGTATGTTTTGGTGTGTGTTTTTTTAATTTTTTATTGGGATTTTAATGAAAGTTTATAGAGAACTTGGGATTTCAATTTATTCATTGTTGCAAATTTTCCTCACTAGTCACTCTATACAAATGCTGGTACATGGGGATCCTCAAACTTGATCGACCAGATGCCAGAAGGTCACCCCCTATCAGAAGGATAACCACCTCATATTTCTACCCATCCTTACTTTGGGGCCACTGTCATGCATTCAAAAGTCATTTGCAGCAAAAAGAGTTTTTTTCATTCCACACCACTTCCCCACTTCTCTTCTGAGCCCAGAGAGGCTATGAGATGTGCTCTTTAGAACCAGTATTAGAACTAATGCTTAACCCTCCCTAAGCCTGAAAGAAGAACTTCATTTATTCTTAAATAGTTTGGGAACTGTGTTACCTGAACAGATTTTGGAGGACCTTTTTCTCTTTAATAAGAATTCCAGGATATTAAACAGCTTAAATCTATAACAATTTGACTATACACAATAATAAAATATTACTATGTTAAATTGTTAAGTACTAAAAAATGACCAATGGTTTAGAAAGAACTGTGCTAAGCTGGAACAGAACAAAGGGATCTTGCATGGTTTATAACCAGGAAAAGTGTGTGTCAGCGTAGATCCTTTCACCATCTTAATTCAATCTAAATGCTGAAAAATAATCTAAGAAGCTGGGCAGTATGAAGAAGAAAGTGGCATAATGACTGGAAGACTCATGCAGATGGCACAACCCCGCTTGCTAAAAGCAAAGAACATGTGAAGCACTTACTGATGAAGGTCAAAGTCTAGAGCCTTCAGTCGGAGATTCTGCCTGCACATAAAGAAACCAAAACCCCCACTATACAGAGATTTAGACCTTCAAATAAAGAAACTGAAGATTCTCACAGTTGGATCAATAAGTCACATCATGATGTATGGAGAAAAGATTGAAGCTGTCAAGGATTTCATATTACATGTCTTCACAATCAACACCCAAGGAAACAGCAGTCAATAAAATCAAAGAACGTATTACTATTATTATTATTATTATTATTATTATTATATTGGACATATTAGCTACTAAGGGCCTCCATACAGTGCTAAAGAGCAAAGAGAGCACTTTGAGTACTAAGGTGCACCTGGTTCGAGCTACATATTTTCAGTTGTTTCATATGTGTATGAAAGCTAGAAAATGAGTAAGGAAGACCAAAAACCAGTTGATGTCTTTGAATTATGGTACTGCTGAAGAAGTCTGAATATACAATGGACTGCAAGAACAAGGAACAAACTTGTAATGGAAAGACAGTTAGAATACCCATTAGAAATGGGGCTGGTGTCACTCTGTCTCATGTACTTCAGACATGTTACCAGAGCCAGTCCCTGGAAAAGAACCACATTAGGATTGGTAAAATAGAGATTCAGCAAAAGACCTTCAACAAGATGGGTTGACACAGGGGCTCAATTATCACAATAAGCGGATAGCATGGGGATACTGTCTGCTGCTCCAGATGTCACAATGACTTAGAACCAATGGGTGGCACCTAACCAAAACAGTTTAGAAATGGAAGTGCATGTTATCAGAGCTACCAAAAGAGGTCTAAAGCAGGAATGGGCTTCTTGTCCAAACTTCTTGATTCAGTCTGTGAAACACTATTTTTAGTGAGATGACAAACCTAAGAAACACATTTATTCATAAATCTTTGCTACCTGTACATCTCAGGAAGGCTACTTTAATTTCTATCTGCCTTGTTTCACCAGTGCATCAATGTCAAGCCACTGCATCTACATTGTAATAAGCTATCATCTCTTTTGATTTAAAATTGAAAGCAGCAGCTAGTATATCAAGCAGAAAACATCAAAACTAAACATGTTTGCCAACAGTTAAAGGGAAAACTCTGAACAAGTTGTCTAAGAGCATAAAACTGTCCACAACAGGAAAGGAACAGTTTATAATATTCAATAAAGAAGGGAAAGAGAAAAGGTCTACCAGGTACAGCACGGGATGTCTTCTTCCCTGGAGTGGAACAAAACTATTTATAAACAGGAGTGGTGACAACTTACTGGTAACCATTTTCCTATGTCCCCTGTGTGCAACCAGCCATCTTTGTCGAAAGCTTCTGCTGTTTTTGCTGGGTCTTTTAAGTAGCCCTGAAATATATTTGGCCCTTTCACACATATCTAAAGAAAAAAGAGATGATCATGTTAGTAACATTTACTGAGGTTTCTCTGAAAGCTAAGAGTGTGTGTGTGTGTGTGTGTGTGTGCGCGCGCGCGCGCGCGCGCGTGTGTGCACATAAAAATAAAGAATCTTTAGCTAGAAGTTCTTAATTCCGTGATCCAGAAGGAAACAGCAGATGCCAATGGGAACCGAGTGTACAGAGAGCTGTGTTACTAAAACCTCACTAGCAGCTTGAATCCACCAGTGGCTTATTGCAAGCAAGATGAGCAATCTCCTCTTGTGCAAAATTTGCCTCAGAAACTGCTGGCGGGAGAGCTATGAGTTGTTTCTGATTCAGGGCAATGAGTTAAAGACTGGGATTTACAAGCATCCCCCAAAACCCCACTATCTATAGCCTACAGTCAAACTGTACGGCTAATGTATGCCCATGTCTGGACTCAGAGGTACAGTAAAGCCTCACAGGGGATGAAATAACTTTTAAGTAATTAGGCTTATCATTAGTAGCCAGTAGCTCCCTCACAGGTATCCAAGGGAATTAGCACACAGAGCTGTGCTCTGAGGACTGAGGCCACGGGAGTCTCAGCATGCTTTCAGATCCAAGTCCTTATCATGTTCAGTAGAAGGCAGGCCTCAACGTGTCCCTGAGAGCTAAACATAAAAGCACTTTCATAAAGAAGTCTGCTCAGCCCCAAATCACTGTAAGAGTGAGATCAGTAAGCTTCACATGACCTGTATTAGGAAACGGCCCTATATTCCTAAGGCCTAGCCGTTAAAGGAAATGGCACGGAAGGTGAATGACGGACAGGAGTCGACTGCACTCACCTCACCCTCGCCCTTGGAAGCCATGTAATTCATTTCTTCCACATCAACAAGTTTTATATAATTGCAAGGCATTGGAGCACCAACATGGCCTGTATATTAAATGAAAGAATTATCACTCATACCATTCTTTAGTCAGCCTTCTTATAATTTATGTTATGTAAGGTTTATAAATGTCAACGTGAGGCCTGCTCACAATAAAAGGAAGTGGGTATAAATTTCTGGTTTCTGCAATTACAGCCATTCTTTCCATGGGAAATGAAGAGAGTTTATTCCTCGAGTTGTTGTTAGGTGCTGTCCAGTCAACGAAGACTCACAGCCACACTGTGAACCACAGAACTGAACCTTGCCCCATCTTGCCCCATTCTCACACTCTCTGATATGCTGGAGCCCACTGCTGGCGATCTGCGCCAATTCACCTCCTTGAGGGTCTTCCTCTCTTCTCTAACCCTCCGCCTTTCCCAAGCACTGGCCCCTCCAGACAACATCCCAAACCAAAGTCTGTGAGATGAAGCTTCGCTATCCTTTCCTCCAGGGAGCACCCTAGTTGTACTTCCTCCAAGACAGACTTGTTTGTTCTTTTGGCAGTCTGTGGGGTAGTCAGTATTCGGAATTTTCTTCAAAATATAAAATAATTTGTCAGCAGACTTTAAGAGGCACTGTGGATACTTAGAAGCTTTCTACAAGGCTCCCCTGCCCACTATGTGTCCCTCCTTCTCAACCGCTCCTCGTCCCACAGCCTGGCTGGTCCTGTTCTCACAAGAGAGGACACACACATGGCCTTTACTGGTGGAACAGTATGGTTAAACACGTTTTACATTTACGCTTATTAAAATAGGACCTAACTCTCTTGTTAAAGACTGTTAAGATTGGGTTATCTTTTCCAAAAACAGTTTTAACAGAAATCAGATGCATTTTTGTGAGTTTCCCCAACTATTCTGTTTGTGTTTTAGCAAAGGTTAAAAATTAAACAAACACCATGAAGAACACTTATATAACGTTAGTCTAAATTCCAGCGGAATCATAAATTTATGTTACTAGATAGTGGGAATATTAATAACACACCATATAAACTAAGTTTACTTATCACAACCTAAAATATATGCTCTGTGTAGTACAGAAGTTTTACAGTCAGACCTGGTTTGAATCGTGGCTCCAGTGTATAATGCTATGTAAATTCTTAGAAACTATTTACAAGCTGCTAAAACAATAATCTACAGTTACCTCACATTTCAGCAGCATGTTAGCGGCATTAAATAGATCTTAAACACCCAACATAGAACCTTATCTGTGACAGGTGCCCAATGAATTATTAGTGTATGCTTCCTCCTTGGGGACAAAAAGGTCAGCATTTGATTTATATCTGTAATCCCAACACCTAGCACAATCCATTACATTGTTTAAATATCTTATTTGTGTCTAAAACACATACAATTTAATAACTACAAATAAACTAACTATAAATAATCAGACCAATTATTTGTTTAACCAGCTGCTTAAAAGATCTGCTGGGTCCAACAACAGGGACAAAAGGCAGATTTCTAGAATCAGGAAGTGACTTGTGCTGTTGCCAGAGGGCTGCTGTGAGTAGGAATCAAAGTTACGACACCTAACAACAGCTCAGCTTCAGGAATCCTTTGCTGGTATCACCCCAGTTTCCAAGCTTGTCTGCTCTGGGGTCTAACTTTGAGAAACAAATTAGTACCTATTTATGTAGTTTAAAAGATCAATCAGAGAAGAATCCAATTTCAATAATTCTAATAACCCAGTCCTAGTAACCTCATTCCCACAGGGATCCTCCACCAATCGTACCTGCTGTCCAGTCTCCAGGGACTGTCAGGCAGCAGCCAGCCGTGCACTCCGTCTGTCCATAGCCTTCATAAAACTGGGTCACCAACAGATGAGACATTGTTAGAAGGGGGACAGTCCCACCTTGGCTGAAGTGCAAAAGTAATTAAGTTCTTCTAACCCCTCAGTAATGACTGAACGGGGTGAAATATTTTCGGATTTTGTATTTCATTCAATACTCAATCATCCTTTCCTATGCCACCCACACCTGCTAACTTCCATGTCAAGTACCAGCCACTGCTCATGTTCATTTGCCACTTCACTGTCTGCAGACAGCCAATGAGAGCACCCTAGTGACAGGTCACGCTGCCAACTACCCACGCTGGACACGCTTGTTTCGCCAGCTCTGGTTCAGTCCTGTACATGCCCTGTCTGTCACTGAGTCTCTGCTGTCTTCTAGCTCCTTCAGAGATGTTCTCTGCAAGGTTTTTAGTTGGTTCACCACTTGTGAGCCATTCCTAAATTCTCATGCCTGACTCTGAATGTAAGTTGTGTTCCCTACCCTAGGAAAAAAATGACACAAGCCATAGGCTTAAATACACATCCCCCAGCCCAGTGTAAAAAAAAAAAAATTACACTTATTCTCTATGCAATCTAAGGATCACTTGATCTTCCAGACAAAAAGAAGGCACATAAGAGAGTTCAAAGATGTCCTTTCATGAAAAGTAGATGCCTCAGCTTTATCAAGCCTGGCAGGAAGTCCCAGCTCACCTGACAGCCAAGGGCAGCCCTCAGGAACGTCAGCACGGTGGCAGACACTGGTGCAGCTCCTGTGATCATCATCCGGACTTTTCCTCCCAGGCTCGACTGACAGTGGAGGGGGAGAGGAGAGAGATACATGTTAAATATCTGAAAGGGGTGCCCTCCTCAGTGAAAGACACCTACTCAGAGTCCCCGACACCTTCCCTTCACAGTGGCAGAGAACTCACGCGTGGGACAGGGCAAGGAGAACCTCCCTGGAATGCAGAAATGAAGTCTGTTTCTCCACCCAAAATTCTCACTCACAGCTGCCCCTCCATGGGTTTTTAAAGGCTCTAAATTGCATAGGAGGAGACTGTCCATCTTTCTCCCTCAAAGCAGCTGGTAGATTCTAAATACTTATCTTTCAATTGGCAGTGCAACTCTCTAACCACCAAGGCCATCAGAGCTCCCTACTGTCCGAATTCTCCACACAAGGTGGAGATAAATCACTCAGAAAAAGAGAGTGGTGGATTTGTGATAACTACCTCAATGTGAGGTGCACTTGGGTTTGGTTTCCCCTCCACCCCAAGACATGATATCTGAGAAAATTATCTCAGGAGTAACACGTTTATTCTAGAAAACCTAAACAAAATGGAGAAATAGCAACACTGCATGCTCCTGACAGCTATAATACTGTTCAGGTTTATTCTGAACACTGAGATTTACATAGTGGTTTTGTCCCTAATTTTAAATACTGTGCCAGAATTTAAAAATACTTTTCATTCTCATCCTCATCCCCATACCTCTCAAATAAAAAGGAAAAAAAAATCTGGTAGAAATTCTGCACCTCAATGAAATGTGCAAAGAGCTAGAGTCAGAAAATCGAAAGGATCAAACTTGCTCAGCATTTCTTAAGCTGAAGTAACGGAAGAACAAATTCAAGCCTTCAGTTGCAATACTAAAGGATGATGTGGGCAGAATATTGCATAATCCAGGAAACATCAAAAGAAGATGGATGGAGTACACAGAATCATTGTATCAAAAAGAACTGACTGGTATAGAAGTATTAAGAGGCAATAGTGATGGACGAAGTTCAAGCTGCTCTGAAGGAACTGGCAAATAACAGCCCCCAGGAATTTATGGAATACCAATTAACATATTTCAACAAAGAGATGCTGCCCTGGATATGCTCACCAGGACAACTATCTGGCCAACTGACTGGAAGACATCCATATTTATTCCCAATAAAAAAAAAAGGTGATCCAACAGAATGTGAAAATGATAGACCAGTACTACTAATATCACACGCAAGCAAAATCCTGCTAAAAACAGTACGTCAACAGAGAATTACCAGAAATACAAACTGGATTTAGAAGAGGCCATGACACTAAGGACATCACTGCCAGTATCAGATGGATCTTGGCCAAGAGTAGGGAGTACTAGAGGAATTGTCTGTGTTTCATTGACTATGTAAAAGATATCTGACTGTGTCAATCACAAAAAACTGTGGCTAACCTTGAGAAGAATGGAATTCCTAGAACACCTGACTCTGCTTATGAGAAACCTATACTTGGACTTAGGAGGTAGTCGTCAGAACAGAGCAAGGAAACACTGCATGATTCAAAATCAGAAAAGGAGTGTATCAGGAATGTATCCTGTTCTCCAGACCTTTTCTGTATGCAGAACAGATAACTTGAGTGGCTGGGCTTTATGAGGAAGAATATGGTATCAGGACTGGAGGAAGACTCAACAACAACCTGTGTTACGCAGACAACACAACCTTACTTGCTAAAACTGAGGAGGGCCTGAAGCATCTGCTGCAGAGGGTTAAGGAGTGTGGTTTGCAATAACAATTGAAGCTCAACATCAAGAAGACAAAAATTCTCACCACTGGGCCAACTGGCAGCTTCATGATAGGAGAAGAGATTGGGATTGTTATAACAATTTCTGCTTGCTTGGTACCACAATCAATACTCATGCCACTAGCAGTCAGGAAATCAAAAGACAAATTGTATTAGGGAACCCTGCTGTTAGGGACCTCTCTAGGGTGAAGAGCAAGGATGTCAGTCTAGCGATTAAGGCACACCTAATCCAGGCCATAGTCTTTGTAATTATTTGTATGCATCAGTGAGCTGAACAAAGACCAACGATGACAGAAGAATTGATGCATTTGAGCTGTGGTGCTGGAGAAAAACATGAAATATATTATGGATGGCCAAAAGAACTAACAGGTATGTCCTGGAGAGGATGAAACTAAGCTGCTCCTTGGAGGTAAGTATTTTGAGACTTTATCTCACATATTTCAGGCATGTAGCCAGGAGGGACTAGTCCTTGGAGAAGGACATCATGCTTAGAAGGGTAGACAGACAGTTCAGGAGAGGAAGACCCAAGAGGAGATGGACTGACACAATAATTGGGGTAATGAGGGTAGGTGTGTCAGAGACAGTGAGATTGGCTTAGGATAGAGCAGGGTTTAGAGCTATTGTGCATATGGTTACTATGAATTGTAGTTGACTTGACAGGGCATCATGACAACCACCACCACCACCACCACACCTGGTATTTCTGATCCATCAGTAGCTCCATGGGAGAAAGATGGGCAATTTCCTCCCATTGCAACTTACAGCCTTGGGAACCCTATGGAGGGCTGCTATGAGTCAGAGCTGACTCAATTAATGACAGTGAGTTTGAGTTTTAGGAACAGTTTACCGAGAAGATAACAACTCTGAGTCCATCTGTTACCTGTATTTTGTGGAAGATGAGTTTATCCCACAGGCTGTTGTTTCTAATGATGCCACTGCGCAGCTCAGCTTCTTTCCTCTTGTATGCAAAGTCCAGCAGCCACCGCTTTAGTGTGGTGTTTGCTTGCCCAAAAATCTAATGAGCCAAGAAAGGGAGAGGTTATCAGAAGAAGCAACTCATTTTGGAGGCTGCTCATGCCACACACTGGCTCTGCCCTGGGAGTGTGTCGCTGCCGGGCTGCAGACAGGCTGGTATGCCGTGTCTCAATTCTGACTCACGATGGCCCATGCATGTCAAGGCACAAATGTGCTGCACAGGATTTTTGATGGCTGGTTTTTCCAAAGCAGAGTGCCAGACCTGCCAAGGTCTCTCTAGGTGGACTTGAGCCTTGACCTTTCAGTTAGCAACCAAGCGCAGCATCCACGGCACCACCGGGCACCCTCGATGTGGTTAAGTAAGTGCAGGTGAACCGATGAAAGCCAAAGCCCGCCCCACTGCCCGCTTTTCTGGGTCTTCTACGTTTTCTGCCTTTGAAGGGTACAGTCTTAGAACTTTTCTGTCACTTTCTCTTACTGGAAAACATCCACCTTATATAGTAGAAATGTTTGTACTTTACTGTTAACAATTGGCACATGTACGGAGCTTTAAAGTTAATAAAAAATTTCATAGTCATTTTCATTTATTAACTTTATGAGATACAGAGGAGGGAGAAGAAATGGAACAAGCCTCTTTTATAGATGAGAAAACAGAGGCTCAAGGATTTATTGCTGTAAAAAAATGACCTCCCACCTTACATCTGGACTGTGTGTCTTATGGTTTCCAAAGTGAGTTACTGTATGTTTGCTCACATAATCCTTGCCGACAACTCTGTGAGGTAAATATTCTAATTTTACAGAGAGGTAATCTGTAGTTCTGTGAGATTAAGAGGACTGTCCATCCACAGATGGACACAGATGATACATGGCTGAGCCAAATGAAAACCCTGATTCAAGTCCAGGGCTCTGTCTCCCACACGGCACCCCTGGGAACTCACTCGGTCAAACATCCGGTTCAGCAGTCTGGGGACTACAGGAAAGATAGTGGGCTGAAGCACCTTGAGGTCATCCATAAGTAGCCTGATATCTCCTTGGAAAAATCCTATTTTAGCTCCATGACAAAGCATCACACACTTCAGAGGTAAAAGGAAACAATAAAACATTTAATTGTAGCAGCATCAGCTATACATATATCACAGGACAGTTAACACATATCACCAACTAGCCTCATATGCCACACACCAGTCATATATATCACACACCAGCCAACATATACCACATATCAGCCAACATGTACCACACACTGTTCACATATATCACACACTACCCATCTATATTACATACTAGTCACATATACCACATACCAGTCAGATATCACACACATCAGCTAAAATGTACCACAGACATAAGTTACAGACATAACACACCAGCCACAGACCAGTCACAGACATCACACACACCAGTTATATATGCTACACACTAGTCACAGACATCACATACACCAGCCACAGATCAGACAACAGTCACATATACCACACGCCAGTCATAGATAGCATGCACACCAGCCACAGATATCACACATCAGACACATACCAGTCATAGATCACACACAGCAGTCACATATGCTATATACCAGTCACATACACCTCACATACACAATCTACAGATGCCACAGACCAGTCACATATATCACACACCAGTTACAGATATCACACACACCAGCCACAGATACCACACAAGCCACAAATGCCATACACCAGTCACAGATATCACAAACCAGTCACATATACCACACACCAGTTACAGATATCACACACACCAGCCAAAACAGACTACATGTCAGCCACATATATCACACACTAGTCACATATATCACACACTGGCCATATTGATCACACACCAGACAACATGTATTATACAGCAGTCACATATATCACACACCAGTCAACATATATCACACACACAACAGCCACATATATCACACATTAGCTACCTGCTACATCCCAATCACCAAGCTAAATACCACAAGCCACATATATTACACACAAACAACATATACAACACATAAGACTTTAGTTTTAGTATTCTAGAGCAGTACAAGTAATTTTACTTTTCATTTTCAAGTCATTGTATGACATGGAAATTTGGTGGTTCTCTTGATCACTCTGAAGATGATTAATATGAAATCTGAAAATGCTGTTTACAGTAACAGTGATAGAGGCTCAATTGTTTGAGTTTCATGATAAATATCTTATTGATGAGTGATATAGTTACATGTCCTAGACATTTTTAGGCTTTTAGAAAAATGTAGGTCTAATTTAACTCTCAAAAACTTAACTATTTGCTTATAGTCCCTGCTTGTTAAAACCTCTAACTAAAAATTTCTGGAAACTCACTGGGTGTGCTGAAGTTGACACATGAGGACATCTATTATCAGAATGGTTTGCCACTGAGTTAAAATCTACTCTGTGTGTGTGTGTTATTTAATACCACTGTACAACAGCAAGTCATATGTATTTACAAATGGTCTTCTCAATTTAAATTTAAGAATCAGTCAATGATACCATGAAATCTGAGATAAATGGTCTCAGACTTGGATAGAGAATCCATACCTACAATCACTGTATAGCTATAGTGAGGTACCAATTGTATGACCCATCACACATACTCATTTGTAATCTCTCTATAAACTCACAAGCTTCTTGAGCTGTATATGCAACAAGTAAAATGAACTGGTGGAATGTGAAGTCTAATGGTGCTTGCCCCTCCAGGGGCAGCAGTCAACCAAAGGGCTAGTGTTCTAAGCTCCTCTCTGTCCCCAGTATCTAACACAGTGTCTGGCACATGGTGGTCAAAAACTACTGAGCAATTGAATGTTTTCCCTATGAAGATACAATGTAAAGTTGTCCAAGAGGAGAAAAGGTGGTTCTTGGTCAGTTTTAAAATTAGTCACATAGTTGTGTTCAAGGGAATACAGGCAAAAATTCAGCTAAAGATCATCCAGCTTTCCCAAAGGGCCTCGGAATATTGTTGAAAATGTTAGTCATAAGCCAATTTAAAGTCAGAGTGTCTTCCAAAGTAACCGTGCCATTTTACATTTCTGCCAAGTGTATCAGGGTTCAAATTTATCCATATCCTCACCAACATCTGGAATTAGCCATCTTTTTTTAATTAAAGTCAACTTAAAGTGTGTACCTTTTTAAAAAGAAAGAAAGAAAGAAAGAAAGAAAGAAACAGCTGTTATTCCTGTCTTTAAAATCAGTTGTGGAGGGAGCTCTGGTGGTCCGGTGGCAAGAAGGTGCACTGCAATCCCAGGGGTACATAGTTCAAACCCACAGATGCTCTGCTGGAGAAGGAAGGGTAATTTCCTCCTGTACTAGTCAAATCTGATTTGACTGTACACACATAAAAAAGAATAAAATTTAATTAAAAAATTTCTAAAAAAAAAAAATCAGTTGTGGAGTTGAAAAAAGAATTCTTAGTGTCCAAAGAACATATCAGAAAACTGAAGGTGGGGGAGAAGTATGAGGCTGCCCTTGATATTTCTTATTTGTTTTTTCCACATGGAAAGTGCGTTTTGTACATGGAAAGCTCTTTTTAATTATTAAAACAAGACGCAGACAATAAAAAAAAATAAGAGAGAGAAAGAAGTGGACAATATACAGCTGGAAAATTCCTGAAGGAACAGTCTTCTGGCTCCAGTATTATCCAAGTGGAGCGGAAATCTTCTATGCTCACCTTGCAAACTACCTGAGGCACTCAAACAGGATACACAGATCTGCCAATCCCTGGATAGTGTACTGGAGGGATGTTTTTCTTTAAGTTGTCATGTATTTAATTTTACTTGGATCCACATTCAATACCCCTAGACTCAGCAGTTAAGAAATCAAATGGTATATTGTTGCTGTTGTTATATGCCATTGAATTGCTTGTAACTCGCAGCGACCCTATGTACACGAGCCCTAAACCCTGCTCTATCTTGTGCCAACCTCACTGTCTTCGACTCACTTACTTCCACTACCCCAATCACTGACTCTATCCATCTCATCGAGGGATTTCCTCTCCTGTGCTGTCCCTCCACTCTCCCAAACATGATGTCCCTCACCAAGGACTGGTCCCTCCTTGCAACATGCCCAAAGTATGTCATACGAAGGAGCATTCTGGCTTCACCCTCTCCACGACAAACCTGTTTGTTCTCCTAGCAGTCCATGGTATATTCAACACTATTCTCCAGCACCACAGCTCAAAGGCATCAATTCTCTTTATATCATCCATATTCATTGTCCAACTCTCTGATGCATAGCATGCAATTGCAAAGACTATAGCGCACCTTAGTCTCCAGCCTGACTTCATTGCTCCTCAGCACTCTGGAGAGGTCCCCGACAGCTGACTTTGCCCATGAAATTAGTCTCTTGATTTCCTGGCTGCTGTTACCAACAGTGTGGATTGTGGAGCCAAGGAAACTAAAACTGTTAACTATCTCAATCTCTTCACCATCCATACTGATGCTGCCAATTGGCCCAGTGGTGAGAATCTTTGTTTTCTTGATGTTGAGCTTCAATCCATATTGAAGACTGCAGTCCCTGACCTTCTGCAGCAAGCGCTTCAGGTCCTCCTCAGTTTCAGTAAGCAAGGTTGTGTCATCTGCATAACACAGGTGGTTGATGACTCTTCCACCAATCCTAATGCCACATTCCTCCTCATAAAGCCCAGTGTCCTGGATGATCTGTACTGCATACAGATTGAAAAGGTCTGGAGACAGAATACATCCCTGGCGGACACCCTTGCCGATTTTAAACCATGCAGTGTCTCCCTGCTCTGTCCTGATGACTGACTCTTGGTCCAAGTATAGGTTTCATATAAGCACTATCAAATGTTCTGGGATTCCCATTCTTCTTAGAGTCAGCCACAGCTTGTGATCCCTACAGTCAAAAGCCTTTGCATAGTCAATGACACACAGATAGACATTCCTCTAGTACTCTCTGCTTTCTGCCAAGATCCATCTAACATTAGCTATAAAATCCCCAGTACCACAATCTCTTCTAAACCCAGCCTGGCAGTTCTCTGTTGATGTGTTGCTCCAGATGTTTTTGGATCATTTTCAGCGGAATCTTGCTTGCTTGTGATATTGTATCTGCTAGCAAGGGTCTCGTTAATAAAAGTGTTTTATTTTTTTCCATCCACATGCACTGTATTTCATACATTCACACTGGGCTTTATAGAATCATTCCCATATATTGTGTCTTACAGAGTTAATTATAATTGATCTATACCTATTAGTACCTCATCCTTTCAGATGCTCACTAGATCCTTCCAAGTTCCTTCTATGCCTGACACCTGGCAATGATGCTCAAGGTCCCAGTGGGAGCCCAAAGCCTACATACTCTTTCTGGATACTTTCTCTTCACCAAAGGTGAACTCTGGCCAGGTAGGTCCACTTACGTGGGTGGGCTATAAGCATGATGCTAGGCTTACTTGAATATGTACCCTATTGACATTATAACTGAAGAAACAAAAAAAAGCTTTCTCTCCCAGCTACTTCATGTTCCTCGCCTATGTGATTAATTTAATATGTTTTTTTGGGGTGGGATTGGGGGAGGTGGGGAGAGCTGTTTTGAAGTCTAAAGATGCCAGAAGGGAGATGAACGAAGAAAACCATGGTGCCTAGTTTGTCTGAGGGACTAACTAGTCACTCTTTTACTTCCAACCATTTGAGGAACTGTTAGATTTTTTGGTCTAAGTGACTGCACCACTTACTATGAGCAGTGTATGAGGCCTCTGGTTTCCCTCCATCCTCATCAACATTTATGTCCTTTTTTTTAGCCATCTTAGTGGTGTGCACTGGTATCTCACAGTGGTTGGATTTGCATTTCTTTGATGGGAAATGCTGAGTATCTTTCAAGTGCTTACTGGCTATTTGTGTATCTCTGGAGATAATGTCTGTTCAGATAAACTGCTTATTTTAAAAACTGGGTTGTCTTTTCACTGATGGCTTGAAAGAGATTTTTATATACTTTGATATAAGTCTCTGATAATTTGTACATATTTACTCCTATTTTGTGGACTGCCTTCTCATTTTTCCTTTAAGTTTTATATATTTTGTTGTTGTTGAGAATACACAGAAAAAAAACCAGACATTCAACAATTTTGACATGTACCATTTGGTGGCACTGATTACAGCCTTTGAGCTGTACAATCATTCTCACCCTCCTTTCCCTCCCTCATTAACATCTAAACTCGCTGTCTCTTAAGGTCTCTATGTAATATTTTTATTTGCTATTGTTATGGTATGTCACTTGGTTTGATGTATATTATAAATAAGCACAGTAAAAAGTAAAGACTTCCCACAAAATAGAAACCGCACTAGGCTTTGTGGTTTCAATAAACATTCATTTTATAGTTACTCTTTCTTGAAGCATATCCATGCTAGTATCCTCCAAATGCTGGGGATCCTAACTTTTCATTTGTGGCATTTTGTAGAAATGAAATCACACAGTGAGTGGTCTTTTGTGACTAGCTTCTTTCACTTAATATAATGTGTTTAAGATTCGTCTGTGCTGTGGTATGAATTGGCTATTGATTCCTTTTCATTATACAATAATATTTTATTATAGGGATATACCACAATTTATCTAAACATTCTTTGCTTGATGAACATTTTGGGTTATTTCCATGTTTTTGGTGATTATGAACAATGATAAGGATTTGGTGTACAAGATTCTGTGGATGTATGTTTTCAATTACCTTGGGCATGTTCCTAGGAACAGAATTGCTGGGCTGTATGGTAACTCTGTTTAATCTTTTAAGGAACTGCTAGATAATTTTCCAAAATAGCTGTACCATTTTACACTCACTAGCAGTGTATGAATATTCTAATTTCTCTACAAGCTCACCAAATCTTATCATTATCTTTTTTCTTTTAACTATCTTAATAGGACATGAAGTGTTATCTCACTGCACTTTTATTTGCACTTTTGATAACTAATGACTTTGAACATCTTTCCTTTTGTTTATTATTCATTTGCATATATTCTTATAATAATGCCTATTTAGATAATTATTTAATTGGGGTATTTTTCTTTTATTACTGAATATATCATTTCAGACATAATTTTAAAATCATTTCTCCCAAGCTGTGGATTTGTCATTTCTCTTTCTTGATTATATGAACTGCTAAATTTTTTTTAAAAAAGAGGATTAAACTTAAAAAAAATTAGTACTCTTTAAAACAATTAGCATCTCTAAGCTGGGACTATGGAAAGAACTGCTTATGATGATGGCAGTTTGCACACAACACTTACCTGCATTAGCTGCTCATACATATGTGCCAGTGGTAAAAATGAAATGTGTGTGTCACTGGCATTCAAGGTAATTGCAGTCTGTAAAACACAACAACTTAGCAGAACACAAACAAACAGGCAAACAAGCAAAGGTAACAAAATGCAATGCCTACCTCTACAACTCTCTCAAACATATGGGCCAGAGGCAAGAAAGAAATCAAAGTATCATCTGGGCAAGGATTGAATGTATTCTGTAAGCAAAGACACCAATAAGGCAGAAAAGTATTCCAATGTTCAGTATTTTCCCCATTCATATCAGAGCACATAGTTCCTCAACATTAAGGAGAAGCAGACTTTCCGTATAGTCTGTGATTATTTCTCAGCAAAGGACCAAATGAAAAGTATAATTTTAATTATTCAGTTAGGGTGGAGAATATGAGGTTATTGTAAATGACAGAGAAAAGCCAATCAGGACTTTGGTAAAACCAGGAAATAAAGGAAAACTGTTCTCCAAATGGGATGTGAACAGATTATGTGCTCTGATCATTTGGCATTTCAGATTATAAAACCCACTCCCCAGAATACTCAGTTCCACTAAAAGACAAGAAAGAAAAGTTCCATCCCAACACAAATAAGCGAGCATAGGGGGAAAGAGGGAAGGAGATAAGAGAAATATCGTAGCCAGAATTCTTTCATATGCAAAGTATAAATGCACCTCGAGCATCAATACTTGCACCTTAGAGCCCTACTTTATCGCTGCTGTAAGCTGCTGATCTGGTGTCCAACTGGCAGTGGTGAGGCTATGCACAATGACAGGGGCTGTGGATTAACATCATTTTCAGTGGCTCAGGTTCAGAAACAGATCACCAGCATCAATTTCTTCCCGGGACTTAGCTTGGAAGCTCCGCTGAAACCTGTTCAGCATCACAGCAACATTTAAGTCTTTCACGGACAAGTGGCGACTGGTCAGGAACTAAGTCTGAGTCTCCTGTGTGGAGACAGCTCCCATAACATCTGACTTTACCCCATGAAATATATTCCAATTCTTTCATGCAAGCTCAAATCTGTAGCAGGGGATATGCTTTCCTACAAAACACTTATGATGAGCCTGCAGCCAGTCTGTGTTTGGACATCAGATTTTTATTTCATGGCTCAGAATGGGCTTTACTTAGGGATAGGCATATTGAGCATTCACATGGAATGGTATTATGTTGTTAACAAGAGATTTTTTTCAATACAGACAACAGTAGTTGTTGCAAAACCAGCCAGCAGGAGAGGGAATTGTCAAGTTGCCTCATGTGTGATGTTCCCACTTTTGAGCCATTGTCTCTCCTCCCCAAAGCTGGGCCATCCTTAATTATAATGTGAATAACTTGATTTGACTCAATCCATTGCTGTCAAGTATGAACTGACTCACGGCTGACTCTCTGGGTTTCTAGGCTGTAAACTGCATGGGAGGAGACTTTCCATCTCCTGTGGAGCCACTGGTGGATTCAAACTGCCAAAGAGAAGCAGCTGATGAAATAGCAGTACAATTCCATACACCACCAGAGCTCCTGAACAACATCGTAACAGGTGAAAATAGGAAGCTTTGGTAGCCTAGTGGAAAGAAGCTGAACTGCAATCCCAAAGGCAAGCAGTTCGAATCCATCAACTGTTCTGTGGGAGAATGATGGGCAATCTCCACCTGTGTGATTAACTACCTCTGAAAACCCACTGGAGGGTCAGCTATGGGTTGGTCTGACTCTAAGGTATACAACAACAACAGGTGAAAATACCAGCCTGAGCAAATTTGGCAGTGCTGGAGGTGTTCAATGGAGACTAAAATGCCATAATCTTAGTTTAAATTTCTTCAAGTATGACCATATCCCAACCACTGAAAAATGCAACTATAAGGAACAGCTAATTCAATTTTATAATTCAGTATCAAAAAGAATACTTTTATCATGATTATAAATTTAACAAAGTTTAGAATGCTCCTTGGTATTATAATTAATTTTTCAAGTCTCATAATTATTTACCTCAATGAGACATCAATGCATTTTAAACTTGTTTTGGAGGCTAATTAGGAAATAAAAGTTTCATTTTGGTAAGGCACTAAATATTTAGAAAGCATACACACAAAAAATAATGGCATTTGGAACTAACAACTCCAGTAAATTAAGAGTAAATTAAGTGGCAAGATACCGAAAAGATTAAGATTCTACAACCATCAACGATGTCCATTCCCCGAAACCATCAAGCACAAGACGACTGCTGCAAATTCGGGGCCACTGAACATTCCCAAGAGATTGCAAAAGCAAATTATGTAAATTGTGAAAAGGACAGGAAGGAAAGGCATTATATTGCTAAATAAGCAACGTTTTTAAAGGGAAGCTTGAAATATGCCTTTGGCCACAGCAGGAACCTAATGTAAAGATCTTTGCTTTACCTACTTTAAAGTTCTGTGCTTTAATCTTTCTCATAAAAATGGAAATAAAATTGAACAAGTAACAAATAATTTTAGAAAATTTCACTATCAACTTAAAGAAACTATTTTCCCAACACTGGAATTCCACAAGAGAATCATCTTTTCTTTGTTCTTTCCTCGAACCATGTGTACAGTAGTGGCCAAGCAAAGTTTCTTTGATATACAAAAAAATATACATCACTGTGGAAATGGACCAACTCATCTCTGAACAGCCAATAGGTTTCTGAGGTTGCAAACTGCATGAGAGGAGACTGCTCATCTTTCTCTCACAGAGCCACTGATGGATGTGAGCCACCAGAGAGCATGTAGGAGCAAAACTCGTTATAGACTATGCTGCCAGAGTTCCTGTCCTCTTAATGAAGAACAACAGCAAAGTCTGACAGGTCAACTTAACTGTTACAAGCAAAAGTTGGAGATTAGGTTCACACTTGAAATAACGTGACAGAAGGTGATCATTACCCTTCATATATATATTTTAGACAAATAAAACTACTGCCATTGAGTTGGCTCCAATTCATGGTGACCGTCCCTTGTGTTTCTGAGGCTGCATATCTTAACAGGAGGAGACTGTCTATCTTTCTCCTGTGGGGCAGCTGGTGAATTAGAACTGTCAGTGTTCTGGTTAGCCACTCGATCTGTAACACCAACTTGTGCCACCAGGACTTCTTATATTTCAGAGAGGATTCCAAATACAGCATGGACCACTGAGGGATGCCAAGCTGAAAAGTTATTATCTAAGATTTCTAACTAGTTGACCTCACCACTTTCATTCTTGAGGCCTAATGAAAACCAAAGAATATGAAAAAAAAAAATTACAGTGCCCCAAAAGGTTACCTCTGTCACTTTCACAAAAGCTGAGCAATCACACACTATATTCTGATGGGTGATCAGGGCTCCTTTGGGGTTGCCTGCGGAACACATGAAGCAGATGCAGGTTAGAGAAAAAGGAAACGTCTTCCAAGAATGACAGCCCTGGCAGTGCTCAGAAACCTTATTGATTAGTAGGTCACATGCCGCTAGGCTTGGGCAGCCCTCCGAAAGCCAACTGCTGAGTAACATTACATTCCTGAGCAACTGGAGAACCTTTAAAGTGAATCCAATTATCTTAAATAAGCTGTATTACCATGGGCAAGCTTTAGAGTAAGTGTGTGGCAATAAGAGGAGGAAACCAGGAGTTGCATTGCTGGAAACCACTGACATTATCTGTAATAGAAAGCACTTAGAGGCAAACACATTTCAAAACTTACCTGTGGTTCCACTTGTGAAACAGATCACTGCAAGATCTTCAGGTGCTGGAGGCTAAGGTAGATAAGGTGGGAGGGAAGTTACTATAAATTAAACTAGAGAAGAAAATCAGAGTTGTGAGTTGCATGGAGTGGAGTCTGATTCCTCGTGATCCTGTGTGTGTACAGCAGTTTTTTAAGGTGTTCAAGGCTGAGACTTGGAAAGTGGGCCATCAAGTTAGCCCAATAAAGCAATTTTGTATGGATTTGAACTGCTGACCTTGTGACTAGTAATCAAGAGCTTAACCCCTTGTACCACCCAGGAACTCCAGGCCATAAAGTATTACCTGAGGTTTCCACTAGTCTCTGAAATGAATAAACCTTACAAATTATGCAGAAGTCTGGGCTAGTGGTCTTACCTTGGGCTTCCGTTTGTTGGCTCGTCCCAGGTTCTAAATAAGAAGAAAAAGGAAAAACAATTAAATGGAAATGTTTTCTAGTGCAAAAACTAAAGTCAAATCAAGTTACTTAAGGTTGACTTTAATAAGAAGTCCACTCACAGCTGGTCTAAAGACAACTTAATTTAAATTAAATAAACTGTACCATGTTTAACTAACCTAAGTCCAAATATTTACCCACTCTTCTAAGAAGTCACTTTCCAGATGTCCTCCTTCTTTACAAAGCTATAATAAATGGTGTGAAGGCTGGCCTTTAAAATGGGATTTAGTGAAAACACAGTAATCAAAGAATCTTGAAATATATTTCTCAGCTACTCTCTCACTTTCTAGCAATAGTCTTTAAAAACCAAAGCTTTACTCTTAACTAAACTATTACTAAAGATTTATATCTATGGATGAAAAGCTGTAATACTAGTATCCAAATATATGTAAACTGAATGTTAAAATAAAGATAATTCTGTAGAATATCTTCCAAAATAATCTATCACATCCAAAGTTCCATTCATCTAGTCAAAATTCTTCTACAGCTTCTTTGAGAACTTTAGCACAATTGAGCCTTGAATAAAATCAGCATGCACTTTTTGATGCTCCAAAAACTTATCTATAAACCTACCACTGTTTACTGGAAGCCTTACTGATAACATAAACTAAAACTCAAACTCTGTGCCATCAAGTCAGAGCTAACAGCTTACTGCAGCGGGTTTCTGGAGGGTGTAAAATACATCTGATAAGATTGCTCATCTTTCTCCCAAAGAGCCCCTGGTGAGAGTCATTAGAACCACCAGAGAAGGGCTACTTTCTTTGGGTTAGTGGCATCACTCTCTACAATGTCACTAGAGTCGATGAACATGTATTTTCTATGCTAAATGTTTGGGATACTGTACCCCAAAAAGCGCTAGATTTTTATTGGAATAAAAATTTCAGAGAAAGTGCGGGGTTTTGTGTCTTCTGGTATAACTGCAGTGATGGCTTCACAAACTTACTTTTCTTTGTTTACAAATGGTTCTTCAGTATGAGATAAATTTATCTTGAAAAGGGTCTGCAGCTGCAAACCTCAGTCCACAGTACGTATCAAGCAATCCAACCTTTTCTTGTAATATCATGACTTTTCTCTGCTTGGAAGGATACCAGCATCACTTTTGACATTCTAGGTAGATACTATGGTGCTATTACAGGTTTACAGTATTTCACTAGACACGATGCAAGATAGGTGAGAAATGCAAGACATCACTTTCTCTGTGGTACACAATTCACTGGAGAGATGGGCTGCTCATGTAAAGATGATTAGTATCATATTGCATTAAAAAATGTCTGCACATAAGTGGATCGAAACAGTTCAAGCCCATTTGGTTAACATGGGCCAAGTTTTCCAACATGAAAAACTGACATTAAAGAAACTAGGACAATTATATACAATGTGGCTTTAAGCACACTGAAAATAAACATTTATCCAAGTTAGTGTACTTTTTACAGAAAAAGTTTCATAGTATGGAACATTCCTTATATTGTAATCTAGGGGGGAAAACCCCAGCCATTCTAAAAATACGTGAGCTATTATTTTTAGGTTAAAAAATTTTCCTTCAAAACAGAAACATACACAAATGCTAAATTCTAGTCAGTGAAAAGCACTATTTTAAGTACTTAGAGGTAAAGAAGTCCAGAATTTACTTAAAATGCACCAACAAAACAAGACAGATAGATAAAAGAAAAAAAGGATGGAAAGTAGGATTGATGTTGTTGTTGATTGCCATTGAGGCGAGCACGACTCATAGTGACTCTATGAACAAAAGACCTAATGCTTTTCCATAACTACTGTCGTTTCTCCAAGTTCACAGTTTCCAGAGGCATGTGGTTTAGGAAGAGGATGCCACTCCTGCTTCCAAACCTGTCTTACAACTGGGAGTTCCACCAAACACTGTCCACATTGGAAAACTATTAGGGTATTTGATACCTCAATGGTACAAGGTTCAGCATCACAACCACCCCAGTTACTTCATACTGCACATTGACAAAGAGTGGTGTACAATGTGGAAGAGTGTTCCTCCAGATATAACAGCACTAGTCTCACTAGCAGTGGTTAATGTCGTCAAGTTGAATATGACCCAAAGTGACCCTTGCACAAAAGACCTGAACTCTGTTCTATAACGAACATCATTTCTGTACACTTACGGGGTTTATAGTGTTTCCAGAGGCATCTAGTTTAGGAAATGGATGCCATTCCTGCTTCCCAACCTAAATCAATCTGGAAGCTCCTCCAAACATTGTCCATGATGGCTAACCATTATGATATTTGACACGACTATGGCACAGTGTTCAAAGTCACAGCAACTCCAAGTTATTCGGTACAGCAAATAGAGAAATGATTGCTATTTCACTTAAAGAATATTCATTCTAAAATTAATACATTTTAAACACACACCCTTTGGCAGGCCTCCACCACTAGTCAAAAGTTAAACTGATACCTGCTTCTGGTCAAAAGTTAAACTGATACCCGCTTTGGGGGGAATAACATAGTAACACACATCAAACAGGACCCAGAAACTTCCCTTACGTGACCACCATCAAGACGTGATTGCCATCAAGACACTAGAAGCCAACTCCTAGAGTGGAGGTTCCAGGCCCACAGTGGAGGTTCCACAGACCCAATTTCTCCATCAAATATGAAAGGGAAATTAGATTCTTTGCAGAAATAAAGGATCTTAGGGAATTTGTGAAAAAATAAGACCAAAACTACAAGAAATTTTAAGTGAAGTCCTGTACACGGAGATGCCGAAGGAAAGTACATAGACTAACAGATATGAATGTTAATATACCTTGAGCACAAAACAAGCCATGATGCTGCTTTCTAATTCAACTGTTAAAAAAATTTTGGTTATAAAATAAAATTAATTAAATC